TAATTTTATTAACTTGTTATTTTAGTGTATGGTAATAAGTTTATCTAATTAATTACGAAACTAGTGCCAAAGAATAATTTTAGTTAGAAAAATTTTGAAAAAAAAAAGAAAGCTGCTAAAGATTTATTAGTATAGAAAGCAATTAAAGACTTATTGATACAGAAAATCCTTCATTTTATTGTTTTCCTTTTTTATATTGTATCAAATACATTGTAGTACAAATATTATAAAAACTTTAGCTATTAATAATTTATAAAAACGTAGTAAATATATGTGAATTATTATTATATAACAAGATATAAAACAGTATAGATATACAATGTACAATGAATAAAATGTACTTGAAAATTATATATTCAGGAATTCATTTATTTATTTCATCCAACTTTTCCATAACACTCGTGGGTGTGGTTGAATCCAGTGAATTTGATTCTAATCTGTTATTACGCTTGCTCTCATGGATAATCTCTACCACGTTCACTCCCATTTTTTGAACTTCCTTGGACAACGTTTGATTCGTAGCATTGACTACTGTAAGCAGGTGTCCGTTTTAAAGATAATATCTAATAAAGTATATTTTGTATACAGAATACGTATTGAAGCTTTATTACATGTGTATATACATGTTTTGTGTATATATTAATATATCGTATATGTATTTATATTACATTCTCTCTTTGAACAACATACAAAAATTAAATATGTAGTTACCTGCTTTACACGTTAAATTGTCTTTGCAAGGTATGCATTATCATATTCCTTTTACATATACCAATTGCATCTTGTCTTTGGTTAATATCATAATCTTGCACTGTAACTTCTTCAGGTGCTATCAGTGGTATTACTATAAGTTCATCTCGACGTAGTATGCAAATATTGTGGATAACACAACATGCTACTATGTATTCAGGCATTAGGTCCACTCTAACCATGGGCAAACAATGCATCAAACTCCTCAATCTTCCTTTTAACAACGCAAAACATTGTTCGATCTTTGTCCTTGCAGAGGAATGTCGGAAATTGTAATGTTTCTGCACATCACTTAAATGTCCATTATCTTTAAATGGTACTAAGAGATGTTCGTGTAATTCATAAGCAGCATCTCCTATCAAGTGACTGTTATTGGGAAATTTTTCTTCAATATTTAAGAATGTGGCTACTTCTGACTGCCTGAAGATTCTTTGATTATGAACAGATCCTGGATGGCCAACATAGCAATGAGTGATTAAGGCCCTGTGATCGCACACCGCCTATAATTTAAAAAAATTAAAGATGTAATCACATATATAAAGTTAATATATGTATAGGCCAAAATGATTGTTACAAATACTTTACTAATAATTTACCTGCAACTGGATGGAATGATATCCTTTCCGGTTTATGTAGTCTACTGCGTTTTCTTTGGGTGCTTCAATTCTAATGTGAGTGCCGTCTATGGCATCAATTGTATTTGGAAATCCACTGACTTCTTCAAACTTGTGCATTATAATTTGTGCATCTTCATTTGAAGGCCAAGATACAAATTGAGGAGCTATTGTAAATAGAGCTCGTGTAACTCTTCTCACAGCTCTCAATGCTGTAGCTCTACCAACATTAAATCGATCACAAATGGATCTGCAAATAATTACAGATAATAAGTTTAATTGTACATTAAGTGTTCGAAAAGTTGCATGAAATCCATCATATCTATAGGAATCCATTGTGGCCATTTTCCACAAGGTAATTAAAAATTGTTGACGAGGTGGAATTGTTGGACAACCTTTTATTTCTCGAATAAGATAATTACTTATTATATCTAAAATGAATTCGAATGTTGCGCGGTGCAATCTAAAATTAAGTTAAGTAAAAATGTCTATTAGAATTATACTTTTCAATAATTACAATTATAAATCACATTAATAGAAGTACAAATATTGCAAAATCATTCAATAAATATATTTATAATATATTTATTTGTACTTCTGTTAATGTAATTGAAAATCTTTTTTGTATATTTAAAAAAACTCGTTGAAAATATAAAAGATAATATCTAACCTAAAATGACTTTTGAACTCATAATCCATATAGCGCGAGACAACAGTCTGTGAATAATTTTCTATACGAGGACGTTTAACCCGTTTTTTTTTTATTACATACGAGAATCTCGTATTCTTCAGAACTACTACTTTCATCACTGGAAGAATAATTGTTCTTCAATATCTGTACGACAGATATAACCGCAATCTGTGCCATTGTCGATACGGCCAGAATAAAAAATGTCGCTTATGCGATGAGTAACAAAAAATATGCAGAATATGAAAGTCTAAAGGAGTGACAAACTCAATTGCGCGTTTGAAGCCGGTCACACTTTCCAAAAATTATAACGCAATAACACATCCGATCACGTCGGTAGACGTCATGGACTATATATCGTTAAGTGGAACGACTTGTGACGTTAACGCTCACGCCACGCTCACGCCGACCCACCTCCTTAGTGCGGGCGTTGTGAGCGTTCATTTGTATCATCTGAAGTTGTTCACTTATAGCGTCCGCTGGCGTCGTGGGCGATAAGTGGAACAGCACGAAGAGCGATTTGAGCGTTGCGAGCGATATGTGGAACGCACCCAATGAAGGCGACGTAGCGGCAGCTACGACATAAAGTCGACCAATCAGAATTAAATACCGTTTGAGGTTACAATGGTTACATATAAAATAATGATGGATTTTGCTTAGTAGTTCATTATGAATTTAAGAAAAATAGGACTTTTCTTTTTATTGTGTCTATCTTGGCATAGTTTAGTGCTGTCACAATGGCAATTTATGAGAAGAAGGACGACAAAGCACCGACGTTGGTGGGTTCGACCTGTAAATAGGTTACGAAATGCTCAAGGGTTTTACCATAACCTTGTTCAAGAATTGCTTCAGAATGATCATGAAGAGTTCTTTGCATTATATAGAATGTGGCCCGAGCAATTTCATTTGCTAGTAGATTTACTTCATCCTCATCTTAAGAAGAACAGTATCCAGGTTCCTCTTCCTACAGAGCTACGCTTAGCTGTCACGTTGTTGTAAATAAAATTTTATCACTTTAATTTTATCATTTTCTTTAAAGTTACTTCATCATGATTATTGCAGGTACTTATCCCAGGGTGATAGTGCTAAATTAAAACATGCAGAATTTAGGATAGGCAGATCAACTGTTAATAAAATAGTGAATGAGACTTGTCAGACAATTTGGACAGTATTACAGCCAATTGTTTTGAAACCTCCTAGTAAAGAAGACTGGAAATCTATAAGTGAAGAGTTCATGGAAAAATGGCAGTTTCCAAACTGCCTAGGAGCACTAGATGGGCGTCATATGAGAATTCAGGCCCCGCCCAATTCTGGATCAGCATTCTATAATTACAAACAATTTTTCAGTATGGTACTACTTGCCATCTGCGATGCAACATACAAGTTTACATGGGTTGATATTGGGCAATATGGTGAGTATATTTATTGACTCTTTAACTTTTTACTATATAATTTATAATATATGTTATCTGTAATTGCCACTCTGATTTATTTTCAGGTTCTATAAGTGATGGTGGAGTATGGGCCAATACTGAATTTGCAAGTGATCTAGCTGCAGGCAATATATTCTTACCAGATCCCACACTACTTCCAGGGACAAATATTTCTTTTCCCTTTGTTTTTATTGGTGATGAGGCTTTCCCATTGTCAACACATATGATGCGGCCCTATCCACATAGAAAGCTGACTGATGACATGAGGATCTTTAATTATCGCTTATCACGTGCACGGCGCACAATAGAGAATACTTTTGGCATTTTGACTGCGCGATGGCGTATCTTACACAAACCCCTTTGCATGTCAACAACTAACTGCGAAAATTTGTTGAAAGCCCTCGTCTGCCTACACAATTTTATTATGCTTGGAGAAGAACAGGAAAATATGAACAATCGTCGATATTGTACAACACATTTAATTGATATGGAGGAAGAAAATGGCAGCATTAGAGAAGGACAATGGAGGAGACATTTTTCTCCACACTTTGTAGAAGTCGGCCGAATGGGTGCTAACCGTGCAGATTCTGTAGCAAAAGAAATGAGAGATACTCTTAAAGAATATTTTGTTTCTCCAATTGGTGAAGCTCACGCTCCATGGCAATATGAATACACATTTAGGGGAGCTATTATCAATCCTCCTGTAATATAATTTTTAAGTTTATAAATATAATAAGTATATACTACAAGTTAATAAAAAAGATGTTTATTATATATTAATAAGATACGGCGTTTTATATATTAGTAAAAATAAGATAAATTTAATAGGATTAGTAAAAATACTCATATATATATATATATATATAATTCTTCTATAGGGCTTCATATGTAAAAATATTATATATAAGTAATAAATTACAATAGAAATCCATAAAAAGTTTATTGTTACTTTTATTTTTTATATTTCAAACAGTCTTATAATCTTTAGTCTTATAATCTTCAGTCAAAACGAACAATTATTCAACTTTTCTGAGAGTTAATATAAATATAATATATAATTATATTATAGCAGGAATTACATTTATATACTCTCTGCAGATTACATATTTATGAATATATACTTATTAAAAAATTAATACTTATTAAAAAATATAAATGTTTACATATCAATAAGATGTTTTATGTATTAATAAAAATAATTTGTACTCATATGTTGAACATTGAAGTTGCAAGCTTTCAGCCAAGCAACATGAATAGTACAAGTGGAAGGAAGTTGGGAGGATGGCCTACGAGAAAATGAGCTATGGTGGTAAGGTCCGCATTGTCTTTCTCCAAAAACATCCTTTCATCATGATTATTGCAGGTACTTATCCTAGGGTGATAGCGCTAAATTAAAACATGCAGAATTTAGGATAGGCAGGTCAACTGTTAATAAAATAGTGAATGAGACTTGTCGGGCAATTTGGAGCGTTACAGCCATTTGTTTTGAAACCTAATAAAGAAGACTGGAAATGAAGAGTTCATGGAAAATTCCAACCTGTCACTCGTAATTGCTTGACTAAAAACAGGGAGTCTTCGATTTGAACTTTAAAATCAGCTATTGCTGTATATACTTTGAATTTATAAGCTGGAGTAATTCTATCATACATTGAAGACGTTTTTCTTCAGATACATATTTAAGAGCAAATGCAATGGCAGCTAAGACTGGATCATTCACAGATGATTCCAATGATTGATTAGAATTACATTGACTTGAATTTGTCACTCCCCTATTTTTTTAGCAAAAGAGGTCAAGGCTGTTGACTGCTTGGTTATAGCTTGCATAAATATTTCATCCTCTTTCTTCTTGCGTTTAACAAAGTTATCAGGTTCTGGAATAGTTCTTTTTGTTGATATCCTCTGCATTGATTTCAGCACTTCTTTTGGTGCATTAACTGCTGCAGAAGAACATTCTTCCACATTGAGGTTACTGGATAATGTAGATGTATGTATAAAACCTTCTTTTTCCATGTTATTCTCAATCGAGCACATAGATGCATCATCTGAAGATAAAAAGAGATAAATGAAAGCTACGCACTTCATATTCATTCCATCCTGTGTACTACATTTCCACATATCAATCTACTTACTGCTAAACTCCAAATCACTCATAGACCATATACTTGATGGAGACAAAAGCACTGATGTTTGTGGAGACGGTGTTTGTGGAGACGGTGCTTGTCGAAGTAGTATTTGTGGAGACGGTGCTTGTGGAGACGGTGCTTGTGGAGACGGTGCTTGTCGAAGTAGTATTTGTGGAGATGGTGTTGATCTTGATAGTGAAGATGATGTTGATGAAGGTAAAATAAGGAGAGGGGAATAGGAATTTTTTTCAGTCGTGGTCTTATTCACAATCTTCTTTAATGAATAATTACTGACAGTTCTGAAACACCGAAATATATACTAATACCTAATGTCATGACACACTAAGCTAATTTTGGATGCTTTCAAGCAGAAAACATAAATGACACAGTGAAATACAGTGAATGACATGTTTTTTGTTAACGTTAATGTTAAAGATAATCACTGTTACATTATATCTTGTTAAAAAACATTATTCATTTGTAAATGACAACTATATACTTGCGAGGCATGATATGATCCACCAAGAATGAACAGAGATCGTAAAATTTCCATTTCGGCACTATGGAGGCTTTGCTCCTTGCCCAGATTTCCCTTTGAGAGCTATTGCTACTTTCCGCCTTTCCCTA